TAGATAAATTTTTTTTTTGAATTTAAACTATCCATTTCATATAAAAATTGCACTTTTCTTATTAATATGTTCAAAACATTAACAAATAAATTTTTAAAAAGTGAAACATTAAAGTTTTCCATAAAAGAGTAAAAAGAAAGCATGTGTGTTAATCAAATATTTTCTAATTTTAAAAAATAAAAAATAAATTAAAATAAAATCATCGGTTATTCGGTCGGTTCGGTTTTTCTTACAAAAAAACCGAAAACCGACCGAAAAACCGAAAAAACCGAAAATAATTTTTACATGAAAACCGAAACCGAAACCGAACTTCCGGTTATTTCGGTTTTTGGTTTTCGGTTTCGCGGTCGGTCCGGTTAATTTGCTCACCCCTAATTATACAATTCAGAGATAAGGTATATGGTTCGGCTGGTTGTACCAAAAGTTAAGGTATATTCGAGTAATATTCATTCTAGAGTAAAGTAGTACTCATTCTCACACAAATACAAACGTCCATTTTTAAATAACGTAGTACTCGTTCCGAAATAACATAGTACTCATTTTCACACATTTATACAATACAAATATAATAATCATTTACGAATAACTTAGTGTTCATTCTGAAACAAAGTGGTGCTCATTCTCAAATTACGTTATGTTCATTCTCAAGTAACATACCGTTCATTCGCTTCAAATTTGGAAATATAAATTTATAGTATAATGAAAATTACATTACTTTAAATCACTCCAATGAGCATCGTCATCGTCATCTTCATCGACATCTTCATCGTTGTCGGCATCAATGATAGTTGGACCTAGGGTTTCCTAGTTCCTTCTAGATGAATAGCGCTTGAATCGTCTATCTCGTCCGCACCTAGGGTTGCTGCTCTTCCCTGCAGACTTGGGACAATCCAGATCTTCCCTCATATCGCACCTAGGGTCATTGCGGCAATCTAGATCTTCCACAGGATTACTCTGTTTCGTTGATTCGTTTTAAGGCTGGTTGTACCCAAAATTGGGTACAACGGATTGTAGGATATAAATTGTGCAATTCAGATGATTAATCGATGTTCCCATATAACATAATAGGTATAACATTCTTCAAATTAAAATTATTTTGTCGTTTGAGATTTACAAATATTTGTTCTCGTTTATAAACTCAATTATTATACAATCGTCATTGATTGCAAGATATATGATGGCTCGCATTGGTTTAGATTATTGAAAAAAAATTGAATAATCTCCTCGTAATGATATGATATGATTCTCCTCTCAAATTAATTTTTTTCAAAAATATGATTTTCCTTTACCCAGTTTAATTAAAAAAAATTGTGATCCTATAATTATTCATCACTGTATTAATTTAAAAAATTGATTACAAGTTTTGTTTTTCAAAAAATATGATTCTTTTACCCTGCATCACCACATTAATTTATATTAGTGAAATAAATATTATTCATCTCTCTTGCATTAATATGATTATCCTCCTTCGTATTGATTAAAAATATGATATTTCTCTCTAGTATGATTCAAAAAATAAAAGACTAGATTTACTATGATTAAAAACATTATTGTTAAAAAAAATTAAAAATCTAATGATTCCACTCCCCTGTCAAAAAAAATGAGTATGAAAAACAAAAGCGATCCAATATTTAAATATAAATTTAAAAAAAACATTTGATTTTTTTAGTTTTTTGGATGTAAAATAATATAAGCACGTAAAATCATTCCTTTTTAATTTTTTGACTTAAATATTTGATCATTTTAAAAATTGGTCTATTTATTTTTTGTTTAATAGTGTTTTGATGTAGAGATTAACATATAGTTTTATATTTTATTTTACACTAATATTGAAAATAAATAAAATAAAAACTAACTTCATTTAAGTTTGTCACAAACAAATATGAATTTCTTGAAGGTTAAGAAAGTATTTTTTTAAGAGAGCAAATCTTATTTATTCATTGATAGTTTTATTTTAAATAAGGTGAAGAAAATAAAATTAGAAAAATATTTTATTTTGTAATAAAAGAGATGATCTCTATTCCATAAGTAAATTTCCTCAATAATATTGAAATCATAATAGGCAATTGTATTCTATAATGTATTTAAAAATATCTGAAGCTTTAGTCTTGTCCTCCCTGGATGTGTATTTATTTGTTTTTCTAAAAAATTTAGGTAAGTGTTCCCCGGCTTTACCACACCGATTTTGGTGGACTCCTACTAGGTTAGAAAATGTAATTAAAAATATCATATCGTAATAGATAATTTAAAATAATATATTTAAAAACTAACTTCACTTAAGCTTGTCATAAATATATATGAATTTTGAAGGTTAAGAAAGTATGTTTTTCTAACGAAGGAAATCTTTTTTATTCTTCAATAGTTTTTTTATAAATGAAGTGGAAGGAATATAAAATTTAAAAAAATCCTTTTATATTCTAATAAAAGCGATGATCTCTATAATGTATTCCATAATTAAATTTACTCAATAGTGTTAAAATAATAAAAAAAATTGGTGTAAATATAGTATATTATGTCATGTTGACACATACATTTTTTGAATGTGTTCTACTCCCTCCGTCCCAATTTAAATCGTCTATTTTGATTTTTGGACATATTTAAGGAAAATAAAAAATAGAGTTGATTTTTCGAAATTGCAATTACTTTTTAGAAGGGGTGATGATGAATGAGAAAATAAGGTGAAGAAGAATGACTTATTTTAGTGGTAGTTTAGGTAATCTTTTTTAAAAGTTTACGAAAACAACTAACAGGCATCTTATTTTGGGACGGAAAAAAAGGCAAACAGGCAATTCAAAATGGGACGGAGGGAGTATAATACAATTTCAAATATTATATCATAATAAATAATTAAAAATAATATATCTTTTAAATTTAAATCATAAATTATCTAAAAGTAATAAATCATAAATTGTCTAGTAATAAAATCAAATCATAAAATCAATTAATTCAAACTATGGAGTTATGTATATTATTTTCCTATTTTAGAAGCAGCTATAGTCTAGTTATCTCTTGTTTTATAAATATTTTAATTTAGTTTTTAACGTATATTTTTTTGTTTTTCATCAATATTGCAATTAATAGAATTAAATCTAACTTCATTATAACATAGCATAAGAAACACTCGTCTAACATTCATTTAAGGGAAAAATAGCATCTAATTCTTTAGCTGAAAATTTTAGTATAAATGAAGATAATAGAAAGCATTGAATGAGGAAAGCATATTCTCATAAAATGAATATTCCTCGTCCATAATTAATTTTTTTAAATATTTATATTAAAAATCTAATTTTACGTTTTATATCTCCTAAATTGGGTAGCATATTATGTGTTAGAAAAATATGAAATTTCTTTATAGGTGAGGAAGATATTTTATTTAAATAGGTTTGAATATTTAAATTAATATAATGAAACTGGCTTTGTTTAAACATATCACAAGAAATTACGAATATAAAATTAATTTATGGGTGAAGATAATACTTAATTATTATTTAAAAGCGTTTTCTATTTAAAAAATTTATAGATAAGTTATATCTTTTTTTTTTAGAATTTCTTAATGTAGTTTTTAAAATATATTGTTTGGTTTTAATTTAACATCAATATTAAAATAAATAGAATCAAATCTAATTTCATATAAATATGTCATAAACAAAAACACAGGTTAAAATTATTTAGATGTCACAAAAATATTATTTAATGAATTAAAAGTTTTACAACAAATGAAGAACAAAAAAAATACTATATTGAATTAGAAAAAATATATCATAAGAACATATGTTTCTCTTAAATAATTTAATTTTCTAAAATATTTCATATCAAAATATTGAATTCAAATTTTATATATAGGGAGAAAGATCAAAGTATGACTAAAACATTGAAAATATACCAAAATAGGACTTCCATGTTTTTATTCCCGAAATAGGACTTACATTACCATACATGGTCATATACATTACCAAAAAAATATAGTAATTTGCATATGTACACTGCAACATTACAACAGGGAAACGTCGCATTATCACAGTGCAAAGTCCTATTTCGAAAAAAAACATGAAAGTCCTATTTTGGTACTTTTCTCTATGTTTTAGTCCTATTTAGGGTGATTTCTATTATATATACTTAATTAGGTGGCATGTTAAGTATCAAAAATAATAAAATTTATTTATATGGGAAAAAATATCCTATTTATTAGTTGTCCATTTTTAAATAAATATAATCAAATTAATCTCATGTAAACTTATGAACAAATATAAAATTTACCAAACTTCAGAATTGGAATTGAACTCCTCAATTCCGATTCCATAGTTTGAATTCCACGTACCAAACGGAGCCTAATATTCTTCTAGTCTAAATATATACTATTTGATAAATTAGTACTCGTATAATAAAAGGTTAATTTTATATATATATATATATATATATATATATATATATATATATATATATATATATATATATATATATATATATATATATATATATATATATATATATATATATATATATATATATATATATATATATATATATATATATATATATATATATATATATATATATATATATATATATATATGGGCTGGTTCCCGTGAGAATGCACCTTGTGGAGAGAAATGAGAATAGTGCATTTTCAAAGATTTATGGTGCATTTCGACGTGATGCATTTTTGAACCATTTTGGTGCATCTAATTTTGATGAAATCTTGACCCTTAGATCTTACAATACAAAGCACCAAATTCATTCTCATTTCTCTCCTAAGATTGTATTCTCACCAGAACCAATATATATATATATATATATATATATATATATATATATATATATATATATATATATATATATATATATATATCAATGAAAGTATTATGGGAAATAGAAATCATCAATTTTGCAAACGAAGCACCTCCATTTTTTTAAATACAAACTATCATAGATTCATAGCAAAATTTCTCATATACTCGATGAAAGTATCAGAGTAAAAGTTCTAAATAGCACTGGTCTTTTTGAAAGACCAGCCCGATCCGACCTATCCTTATATCCATCCCTTATCCCTAGCACCTAGGTGGAAGTTACAACTTAAAAGTACATATGGACACATGGTTGACGCAAGGCCTTAGCCACCCTTTTGCAACAAGGGAATGGGTAAAAATAAAGTTCACATAAATGGAGATTATGACCTCTACGCAGATGGAAACTGTTGCCATCCCTCACATGGGTACATTAAAATTTTTGACATTTACAGTTGACCGTACCTGTTGACCGCTCCCCACTATAACGGAAATCCAAAAAAGTTTTGAAACATCCATTGATCCATTTCTGAGCATTTCCAGGACTCAACCATTGCAATCCTTAATGTCCTGAATCATTTTTAGGACTTGTCTCATAGTGGGCCTCTGCTCTGGGGATGTCAAGCTACAAATACTTGCTAGTTCAACTAGCATTTCAAGCCATCTGTCTTCATCTTCTTCGTCGTCTTCCCTCACAGTTCTAACCCACTCTGGCATATCAGCAGGGGAGAGGAATGGCTGCTGGGAAGGATGTTTGCCAGACAAGAGCTCCAACAGAAGGACGCCGTAAGAGTAGACGTCGGAAGCTGAGGTGGCACGCCGCAAAGACTTGCGTGCCTCAGGGGCTTTGTAGCGCACGGAGTCAGGGTCGTCGCCGGGAGAAACGTCTGCTAGTGTTATTATGCAGTAATCTACTAGACATGCCTCGAAGTCTGAGGCGAGGAGAATATTAGTGGATTTCAAGTTGCCGTGAATGAGCATTGATGCTTGGTGGATGTAGGCAAGCCCTTGAGCCACATCTTCTGCGATTTTTAGACACGATGTCCAGTGAAGCGGCTTTGACCTTGTTGATCTTGAACCTGTCATGTGCACATAGTATGAGCATAACTCAGACTCAATGAATCTAGTAAAAAACAAGTAAAGATTGCATTCAAAGAAGCAGAGATAATTATGTACTAGTATTATCAGAGATGACACAATGTACTTGCAGCAATTGCAATCAGATTGATAGACCGAGTAAGCACAGTTCGACTGAGCTAACAATTTTTTAGTCTAAAGATCAAAAATCAGATTTGGTAGAATAAATCAACCAGAGTAAGAAGAAATTCGGGTCAAATGGCACTTAAATCTTATTAACTCATTGTTCTTTCTTAATTTTTGGACATAGATTCTAGCATAGGAAAAAAACAAATACGAGTAATAAAAGAAAGGGAAGCAAAAGTAGAAGCAAGAGCTAGCTAACCATGGAGGAGATTGAAGAGGCTGCCATTGGGTTGATATTCATAGATGATTAGCCTTTCCTGTTTGGCCTGGAAGTAAGCCCTAACAGGCACCAAATTCGGATGCCGCAGAGCTCCTACAGCTTCCATGTGCTGCAGGAATGCATCCGCGCTTGTTATTGAAGTTTTTCCGGCATCCAGTCGTTTAACGGAGACAATAACTTGTGTATCCATCACTGCCTTATATGTTGTCCCAATTGTGCCCCTTCCTAGCAGCTCCGCGGAAGCTCTCATGAGCTGCTCTAAAGAATACATTTCTGCCTCCCCTTGACAGAACTGCAGACTTCCTCTCTTCAGAGGCGGTCGTGACTTTTGTATTTTTCTTTGTTTGGCATCTTCTTCGATGTTTTCCTCTTGAGTTAAGCTCATCACATTCTCCATGTTATGGTTGCCTGTGTTCGATGTCACTTTTGTGGAATTGGGCTCCATTTCTTCACTCTGCTTTCTGATTAAGGCCAAGAGGGACAAAACTGCTGCAATTAGGACCAGGAATCCCACGACGATGCATAGAATTATGCCGGTTTTCTTGTGCCGCCGTAGAGCAGGTGGCGGGATATGTCCAGGTGGCTGAGCATCCTGGTGGAGCGGCTGGGCCGGCGGCCAGACCTTAGCAGGAGGGGATTTGAAGAATGAAGAAGCTCCGCAAGGCCTGTCGACAATCGCGCCGCAGAGGTTAGGGTTGGATGAGAATGAAGAAATTGTGAACCTGGATAGAACCGGGGTGACAGGAACCGGCCCGGTGAGGTTGTTTCTGGAAACATTGAATACTCTGAGCTCCGACTGGTTCAACGGCGGAATGGAGCCGTCGAAGCGGTTACAGTCGAGGCGGAGGTAGTTCAAGCGGCTGAGAACCGCCAGTCCGCCGGGCAGCGGGCCGGTGAGATTGTTATGAGCCAGATCGAGAATGACGAGGCGGTGAAGGGAGATGAGAGAGAGGGGAAAAGCTCCGTAGAAGTCGTTATGGTTCAGGAATAGGGTTTCGAGGTTCGGGAGTCCGGCGAGGTCAGGAATGGCGCCGGTGAGCGAGTTGTTCTTTAGACTCAGAATCCGGAGCTGGTCGAGCCGAGTTAGCGAATCGGCGGCGAATACACCCCGGAGATTGGAGCCTTGGAGGACGAGACGGACCACCCGGCCCTGAGAGCACTTCACTCCTTGCCATTGACAGTAATCGAACCGCTCGTTGAGCGTGTAGTGAAGCTTGTTGTTGAGGTCCGCCTTGGACTTGAACATCAGAAGCGAGACGGCGTCGGACGGAAGCAGAGACGCCGCGAGCGGCGGAGACGCGGCGTTGCTGAGGACAGCTGCTGGGAAATAGCAGTGAGCTTGCAGAAGGAAGAGGAGAAGGAAGAGCGTCGTCGGAGAGAGAACTACGCGGCGGCGGCGGCGGCGGACGTTGCTTCTCTCTTGCTTCGGTTGAGCAGTGACGGAAGACGGCGGAGGCGGCGATTGCTGGGCCGTTTGAAGCGGCGTACGGAGACGGCGAGGCATCATCGTGTAGTGTTTTGGATGGAAGCGCGACAGTGAGGTATTGTTGCGGAGCAGCTGGACTGGCTTTGCTTTGCTTTGGTCGTCAAGCCATAGGTCAAGTGGGTGGTCAATGTCACGTGAAAGAAAGAGCCATACTCCTTTTATTGACTAATACCTCATTCCCTCTATATTCCCTCCAATATTCTCAATTTCTTTGATCATTCCATAAAAAAAAATACTCCATTCCTCCATTATACTCTTCATATCACAATTCACACAAAAAAACTCTTCATTTCCATTTTTAAATGTTACTCCGTATATAAAAGATTTCTGAGTAAATTCTATAATTAGTCTTTTATAATAAGGGGTTTCCCTATTTAGTCATCAATTATCAAATATTATCCAGAGGTCCTTCTTTTATAGGTATTTTTTCACATATAATAGTTTTTTTGATCTTCTATCACGTTGGTGTTAATTTGAGGGCTAAAAGTGTAATTTGACAATGATAATATATCTTTTTTGTCATACACAATTCCAAAGGCGGTTCCGTTGGCGTCATTTGTGAATTACAGCCGCTTTCTACTACAAACATAGTCTACAAATGTGGTCTTTCGTTGAAATCCTAGTCCACAATCATAGTCATTATTTTTGTGTTATCCGCTTAACCAATATGAGAACACGTCACTAAACATAATGTTGATGTCAAATTATATATTTAGCCTTCAAATTAACACTAACATGACAGCAGATAAAAAAGAACCATTTATGGAAGGATACCTATAAAAGAAGGATCATTGGGATAATATTTGATAATTGAGGACTAAATAGAGAAACCCTTCTGTTATAAAGGACCAATTATGGAATTTACTCAAGATTTCTCTTATTTTTGGTAAATCTTATGTAGTCTAGCATCTTTTTCTCTTATATATCATTTTCATGTTTCAACTACATAATTTTTTTTTTACAATTTGTGTCAATCCAATGAGAAAGTTTTATTATGGACGGATGGAATATAAGAAATAGGTTGTGCTAGGTGTGCAATATAGTACAATGTTTGAAGATGTAAAACATGTAACAATAAAGAATTGGTTTGAAATTTTAATTAAGATATTATAGCTTATACTGTAATATAACGTCTTATATCAATTGATTCAACTCTCACAATAACTTTTATGTATTTTCAATTGTGATCTTCTTGAACAATATAATATTACAAAGTTCTAAATGAGTTTTCCATCATTTTGTTTTTCAAATAACGTTATCATATAGGAATGTATAGTGATATGAGACGTAAAATATGACCATTCCATGCTTTAACCACCAAGACAGGGATAACTTTGTGAGATTAACTTCTTTATTTTGTTACCTGCTTCGCATTTTTTTAGGATGCGCATTTTTTGCGTGCTTCACATTTTTCTTAAAGGAACAGTTAATTATGCAAAAGTCTTTTGACTATATGGACTACTTGGCAACTTTTAAAAGGTTGAGAACTTATTTACCCACTTGAGAAAGACCTCATATAATATTTATGTAAACTCTTCAATTTTAGAAGGGTGTATTCAATCTAGAGTTTGTACAACTTTTTAGATTTTAAAAGTCGATAGGTATTCTATTTGAATTATAAAAATTTTTTAAAAATCTAATGGTATTAAATGATTGATAGATTTTGAAAGATTTTTATTATACATAGATTTTGATGGATTTTGAAGCTAATTTTCTATGCAAAAACTTGTACACATTTCTCTAGACACATCAAAAAATTTTAATGTACATTTCACTCACCCCACAAATTTTTCATTGTAGAGATGGGTGTGACCTAGCTTGTAACGCCACGACCCAGATACCCGAATTTATTCGAATATCCGACTCGGGGTGTTAACGGGTGTAACTTTTTGAATCGGAAAATGGAGCATTAAACAAAACTTATTTATTTATTGATAATATCAGAGTAACTATTATACATGCGGAAGCTTAACATATTCGTACAAAATATATATTTCAAAATAACATCTTTATTGTTATTATCTTTCCTTATGTCATCTCGTCCATCCTTCCATCGCCTTAGCATTGTCCTCTGGTTCGGTCACTATTCTGTTTGTGTACCTAAAAAAATGGAGCCAACCCGATCAGCAAAAGCTGAGTGGTACCAATTATAACAATAGGTACGAAATATAATAGCGTAGACATATACTTTTCTCAAAATTCTTTACTTTGATAATATAAACATATTATTGTATAAAACTGTAGTATCAAGAAAATCAACTTTTCTTTTACTCTTTGTTTAACTAGGACTTCAAGTACTTCGGGTACAAGACGAGTCCATTATCTCTTTCTGGGACTTCAAGTACTTTGGGTACAAGACGAGTCCGTTATCTTTTTCTGGGACTTCAAGTACTTTGGGTACAAGACGAGTCCGTTATCTTTTTCTGGGACTTCAAGTACTTTGGGTACAAGACGAGTCCATTATGACGAGCTCGTACGTACGGCAATGGAGGGGTACTGGTTAACCCTGTAGAACCTTGTGAACCGTAGTTCACATACCAGAAATCGTTTATTAAATTTAGAAAATATAATTTGTATATGTATGTGTCTCATTAACTTCTTTGAATCCATATTTCAAATTTAACACATATATTTTTTTACTCTATATACGTAATTTAAAAATAATACATAAGGTATTTTATTTTTGCTTCAAAACTATCCTTTTTATCTTACTCAAGACTTATTAAAAACTTCCTTAGCATGTAGAGAAATAGTTTTAGGCATAGAATGTAAAAGAATCTTGTCACTTGGAGTTGGTCATTTCCGGTCACCTTCTTCGACGAGGTAACTTTGTTTTTATGTTTAAAACCTAATTTTTCTTCTTTTTATCATCAAAATACTTTTTATAAAACATATATATAAATAGTTTGGACGTAAAGATTTGTACAAATTGTATGCTGCTATCGTGACCCATTTTCTGGTTGCCTTCTTTAACGGTATTCAAAAATTTGTTTCAAAACCTTTTTTTTCTTCGCATTCTCTTATATAATCTTTATATAATTCTTTTAGGAAATATTTTAGACAATTTGGACGTAACGCATGTTTAAAGTAAAAGTCGGCAGTGTTCCCGATTAGTAGTGACAGAAATTAAATCAATTGAGTATATAAAAAATATAGCATATATTAACGTATTATATTAAGTAACAATTGTTATACGGGCGGCGGCACTCACCTTAGAACAAGAGGTTAAGACTTGGAATTAACCAACGTAATTGGCAAGCTTGGTTGATTTCCGATGCTCTCTCTCTCTCTCTCTCTCTCGACGTAAGTATAAGCTTTAGTAATAAACTAGTTATTCCTTATGTAATTGCCTTGGTAGACTTTTTTTTATTTATTATTATAATATGAACGAGACCACTCATATATATATATATATATATATATGGAGGAATAGTAACTTTGGATTAAAATATCTAGTTTTGGATTAGGACGAAACATGGTGATTAAGCTACTCCATTAATTATTTACTGACACACTATCCAACAGTAACAGTTTAGGATAAGTATCAAATATTATATTCCCTAATTAATTTACTTTTGATTTAAATTTTATTTTGATATATTTTTTTTTTAGAATTAAAATGTCAATGTAAATTATTGTTAAATTTACAACTTAAATTTTTAATCTAAACTGGCCCAATTATCAATTAATTATTTTATTTATCGAAATATCTAGACCAATTTTCGGGGCTTTACATAGCTCTAGTCTCATACTTGCAAGACATAGACCTCACAAGAACTTCCTCCCTCACTACAAGAATTGGCCTGCAATTTGTTACGGACAAAATTTGTTGCAGATCTACGACTTTGCGACGAAAATATGAATATTGAAAACCAGTTCAACATCTGCGATGAACCATGTCTTTCCACGGTTGATTTGCGTGGGATTATAGACTTGCGTCACAGATCTGAGATGTTAAAATAAATTTTGTTTGCGCCTTTAAAATTAGCTACAAAATAGAGTTGTCGCAGACTTACAATGAATATCTGCTATGAACCTTTTTCCATCGTAGATTGTAAGTTAAAAAAATTGCGGATGAGCTTATTTCGTTTGGTTTACAAGCTCGGCAACCTCACAATCTCACATCTTTCCTCTGAAACTGGAGCAATGTCTCACCGGTTCATCCTCCGTTCTCAAACGAATCCGCCACTCTTTTTCGTCGCCACTCCCATGACACCGTCCACCTGGTCAAGGGTCGCTAGCTCTTTGTCCCTTCCCACCTCACCACCTCGAGGTCGGCTAAAGGAGAAGGATGTCACCACCTTCTCCATTGACATTGTGTCACCTCACCAGTCACCGCTTCGCGTTGCACCACCAGACGATGTTGCAACCATCGTCTTGTTGCCCGCCACCTCGCATCGCCCACCTCTGCTCCATACTGTACAATCGTGTATCTTAGGTTTTTTCTAAAATTTATTTACTATAATTATATTCTTAAATTTTGTGAGATTGATTGTGTTTTTGTTATATTTTGAGTTTTTTTAGGTTAAATTGAATTGAAATTGTGTGAAATTATTTTGATATTAATTAGAATTAAAATGGAATTAGATAAAATTGTACATGTTTTTGTGGAATTGAGAATATTTAAGGTGAAATTGTATTGGAATTATCAATTCAAATTAATCCCGGATCTAGTCAACATCTATAAATTGTGGCTTTGATTGTGTCATGAGAACGAGTCATTTTAGAAGAGGGAATCCTAGCTAATGCGCCCTTTTTCACCCATATGGATTGAAATTGTAACTGTTATTTTGACTATCTTTTTATTCATTTTATGCAATATGATGTGCCTTATAGGCTAACTGGTTGTTAGTGGAATGTCAAAAAAGATTAAAATCTTTTCTCCTTCTCTCTTCTATCTACTTCGTCTCTTTCATCTATTCCTTTTGAACCCCTCCTTCCAATTCATTCTTATTCAGTTTTTAGTGCAAAAGTGTACATTGAAGACATTCAAGTCTCTTTGTGAATGCTCTGGCTGGCAACTCAAATAAGAATAGTATCATAAAAAAGGCCCCTTTTATTTTTGAATGAAATGTTTCCCCTTTCAAACAGAACTTTCCATCAAAAGGGCTGCATATACAAAGTCATTTTTAATTTGTTTGTCAATACATTTATTATTCATATATATAGTTTTTCATTAAAGATCATAATTCATATTCATGGTTAAATATTGTGGTTGATATTCATGGTCAAAAATTATTGTTTGTTGCCTTTCAATTGCCAGGCATTGCTAAATGAGTCCATTCGAAAATTGCAAGTTGATGTATAAGAAATATGTTATGCAAAATTCGAGAATAACAAATAAAAACGCGAGAAACACGAGAACAGATTTAATGTGGTTCACAAACGTTGTGTTGGCTACATCCACAGGAAGAGTGGGAGCAGTTTTATTATGGAGAGGCAAGAACAGACTACAGAATAAGGTTTGTGGTAGCACCCATATATATAGTGCTAGGCTAAACCCTAACAGGCTTGGGCCCAAATATATAGAATTGACAGATAATTAATAGCCCAATACATCAACATTCTTAAACCCTAACAGGCGAGACCCTTGTACTCCCTGCTGTAATGGGTCAGATTCAAGGCATTACCGATCGAGTGGAGCGCGATCAAGTCAAACCCTAGGTGCGGGAAACGAAGATAGTAAAGAGCAGCGGGAAGAAGAAGGTGCGGGAAACGAAGATAGTACAGAGCAGCGGGAAGAAGAAGGTGATGGTGAAGATAGTGATGGTGATGTAATAGTGGGGAAAGTGATTGTATAGGAGATGGAAGGGTTCATGGGGAAGTGATTGATATAGAAACTTGTAGTCCGAAATAATTCAGTGTTTGGGTGAGACAGTAGAAGAAGGGTTAGAGATTGATCTTAAACTAAGAGGAACGAATGAATGGTACTTAATTGAGAATGAACACTACTTTATTTGAGAATGAGTACCACTTTGTTTCAGAATGAACACTATATTATTTGTACATGAATATTATAATTGTATTAAATAATTGTGTGAAAATGGGTACTACATTATTTCAGAATGAGTACTACATTATTTCAAAATGAGTACAACGTTATTTCAAAATGAACATATATGTTTGTACGAGAATGAGTACTAATTTACTTTAAAATGAGTACCACTCGATTAAAATGAATACCACCTGAATCTACCTATTTAGTTACAACCAGGTGTACCATATATTTTTCTCCATCAAGGCCTCATCTATCACTCCGGCATCCACTAGCTCCTCCTCAGTCCTCACACTAGGTGCTGTTTGTTTTTTGTGCAGAAAAAGGTCTACAAACCACATCTACACACATCTGCAGGAGAAGAGGTGAACCAAAGGTCTGCAGTCTGCAAGAGGAAGACTGTTTTTTAACTTTTGTAGATTGGTTAAGTAAATTGAAATTTAAAAGAGTAAATTCTATAATTGGTCCTTTATAATAGGGGGGTTTCCTATTTAGTCCTCTATTATCAAATATTACCCTAGTAGTCCTTCTTTTATTAGTATCTTTCCACAAATAGTCCTTTTTTTGATCTTCTATCATGTTGGTGTTAATTTGAGGGCTAAAAGTGTAATTTCACAATGATAATATATCTTTTTTGTCATACACAATTCCAAAGGCTAGCTGTTCCGTTTATGTCGTTTGTGAATTACAGTCGCTTTCTACTACAACCATAGTCCACAAATGTGGTCTTTCGTCTAAATCATAGCCCACAATCATAGTCATTTTTTTGTATTATCTGCTTAACCAATATCAGAACGCGTCACTAGACATAATAATGTTGATGTCAAATTATACTTTTAGCCTTTAAATTAACACCAACACGACAAAAGATCAAAAAAGGACCATTTGTGGAAAGGTACCCTTAAAAAAGGACTACGAGAGTAATATTTGATAATAGAGGACTAAATATGGAAACCCCCCTGTTATAATTTATAAAGGACCAATTATGGAATTTACTCAATTTAAAATAAACATATTTTTAAAGCAATCAATATTTTTTAAACATTTAAATTTAAATAAGAGTTCTACAACACTGAGATAACAACAATAACATTTTTTTAAATAACAATAATAACAATATTTCAAATAATTTATTCCGCACTTTGCATTAAGTGCTCAGTAATTTCATCTCGTAACTTGATCATATATTCACGATCCGATGCAGTACCGTGTACTCCAACCTCTTCTTCATCAACATCAACGTGCCCACGGCTATTTCCTAATGACACGTTTAGTTGATCATATTTTGTAAAGAAGTCATCGCTCAAGCCCTCTTTCCTTATAAAAATTATGTAGCGCGAAACATGCAATGACAATGTTCTTTTGTGTAACCAACGAAAATGGTGCCATCCTCTTCAATATAGGGAATCGAGCTTTCATAACACCAAAAGCACGCTCAATAACATTCTGAAGCTTTGCATGTATATAGAGGAGGAAGACGGATGGAGGAGGGAGACGGATGGACGGCGGACGGCTTGGAGGAGGAAGACGGACGGCGGACGACGAACAAGGGACGATGGACGGCTGGGAGAATGATGAGAGTCGGCGGAGGGAGAGAGGAGTCGCCGGCGGGGGTAGGTTTTGAGATCGGGAAGGGAGGCGGATGAGAAGACGGGTAGGTTTTAGATCGAGAAGGGAGAGATCGGGAAGAGAGGCGGATGAGAAGACGTGAGAAGCTAAGAGTTTAGAGCATTGACAATGGCAAGACAAAAATGAAATGACACACGGTGACATGGATTATTTCAACCAATAAAAAGTAACCCAATCACCGTGTGGCAAATGAGTGCATACAGTGACAAGTCGTTGTTTTTGTCTATTTTTGTACTTTTTAATGATTTTTAATTATAAAAAATTATTTTAAAAAATTATTTTATTATTAAAATATGTTTACTTCTTTTAAAAAATATTTTTTTCAAAAATTATAAATATTAAAAATATTAAAAAAAATAAAAAATGAGAGAGTCATGCCTTGCACATGGAATGAAAAGCGGGTTGGAATGACCATGCAAGTTGCTGATATGGGAGGCAACACTCTGCGGCCCCTATTATGCCTTGCCGGCGCACACTTTCCAGCAAATCAGGGCTTCAGGCCACGATTAATCTCTGATACGGAGTATTTCGCATTTGGCAATTCGTAGTTACTCCAGCGACTCCAACAATCACAGGGATATTCTCAGAAGACGACAGCCCAATCTGACGGGCACCGTCCCACCGCACGTCCGCACCCGTTTGCCACAGCCGCACTCCATTCCGTCCAATCTGGTATGTTCGAGAATCTGTTTGGACTTTGGTTGTTTCATTTTTTTGAGATTTATGATTTCATATGTTCTGCTGATTATTTGATTAGCACAATGGCTTTGCTGAACAATGTGATATCTTTTTAATTAAAGGTTAAAAGTCTACAATTTTACGGAGTATTTCGTTTTTAAGAAACTAATTATAGTGATATTGTGAATTGTGGTTTGCAGTGTACTGATTCTGAATTAGTGAATCAAAGTATGGAGTATCTAACAAGGCTGTATCAGGAATGATATGTTTTCTTGTTTTATAGCTGCAGCGATCAATTTCTTTTTGCTAATCAAGCCAATTAGACATCATGCGTTCTTTATACCTTGTGGCTAATCAATCCCCTACTAGAAAAAAATGAAAAATTTATAGAATTATACCAGGCCAGGAATGAATATTTAAATATGGTTTATATATATATATATATATATATATATATATATATATATATATATGTATGTATGTATGTATGTATGTGTGTGTGTGTGTGTGTACACACACACACACACCGATCATATGCATCCAGATCCTAAAACTAATAGTAGAAATTGTGATGGGGTAACAGTGATGCTAAAACAAATGCTAGGACTTGCAGTGGGGTAACCAAAATTTTTCCTATCGCGATAGGGTTGCACCAAAGATCGCCACTGAGCGCATTCATCTTTGTAAGTGTTATGAATGAGTTAACTAGGAATACCCATGATGAGACTTGTGGTGTGTGGCTGTGTGCTAGTTGTAGATGATATCGTGTTATGGGATGAAAGTAATGAAGGGTTACTCCCTAAGTTGGAAATGTGGTGATACGAGTTAGAATCACGAGATATGATGAAGCGAAACCAAGGATTTAGATTGCATATTTAGTACGACCAAAGGTAAAAAGCATAGTGTGAGAAAATTGGATGAGATAAAACTATTGGTATGTGATTGTTTCAAGTGAATGGGATTTATTATACAAGGAAAATGTATTTATTGAATATGACACATAAAGTTCATGTAGCTTGGATACGTGCAATAGTTCAAATAGAAGTACGTGATCAAAATGTACCACTTAGATTGAAGGAAGATTTTTAGGACTACTGTAAGACATGTTTTATTTATTGGATCTGAATGCTGGGCAGTGAAGAATGAATTTAATGTGGTGAAGATGTGTACTATGTTACGTACAATGTTTGGTTATACTATAAATAAAAGTGTGCAATGTGGAATTTTGCAGGAACTCGGGTATTCGCCATTGAAGATAAATTAAGAAAGACACAGCCGCGTTGGTTCAACACAAGTACATGTCCCGGTACATGTACTGAAATGACAAAAAGAGAAGTTGTAGACCGAAATGAATTGGATTGAAGGTTTAAAGAGGGACATTAGATTTTGGGCTTAATGGGCATACAGTGCACGATAGAAAATCAAGTAGAAAGAGGATTTCATTGGAGGACCAGGTAGATTTTCTATTGGTTTAGGTAGTTGACTTCATTGAATGGGAATAAGGTTTGGTTGTTGTTTTTGTTGTAAATGACCTCCTCCGAAGTAAGTTTTTACTGGGACTATTATGATCTTTGACCATTATTATTCACAATTGTAGATTCAAAAAAACTACTAATAAATTATTATTTCAGGAACGTATATTTAAGCAGCTTGTTCAAGACTATTTTAATGTTACTCCAACCGTCACAAAATGAAATTTATAGTTTGACTATTGCTGTCAAAATGTATAAATTTTTATTATGATTTGCATTAAAAATACAATGAGTTGTAATTTGAATTTAACATCATTTTCATTTTTGAAATGTAGTTTTAGGGGGTGTTTGTTTTTTCTGCAGGAAAAAGTCTGCAGTCTGCGGACCAGTACTGTAGACATCTGCAGGAGAATTGGTGGACCGAAGGTCTGCGGTCTGCAAGAAGAAGACTGTTTGTTTTTTAATGTCTGTAGACTGCTATATAAATTAATGGTGGTAGTGTACGGTTGTGGTGTATGGACGATTGTGGTGGTGGTGGAGGGTGGTGGTGAAGGATGGTGGTGGACGT